CAGCTGAACCCGGGAAGGTCCAGCTCTGTGTGGGAGGGGCGTCCGCCATTACAAAGGCAGCCCACCACTAGGGAGGTAGTCGGCCAATGCTGAGGCAGCCCGCCTTTGCTGAGGCAGCCCGCCGTTCCCAAGGCAACCCGCCATTGCCGAGGCAGCCCGCCACAGCGAGAGACTCCGCCTCAACAGAGGCGGGCCACCATCGCCAAAGCAGTTCTAACTACACCCATATAAACAGGACTGCAAGGAAGTTCACTCGGCAGCTGGGCGGAGCCCACAGCAGCTCAGCAAAGCCTCTAGAGGCCGACAGTGACTAGGCTGCCTCCTTGCTGGGCAGGGCAGGTCTGAAGGAAAGAAAAAAAGAAGGCAGCAGCATAACGGAAACTCATAAATAAAGCCCTAAATCCCTGGGACAGACCACCTGGGAACAAAAAGCAGTTTATGAGTTCTGCTGCAGCAGACCTAAACGTACCTGCCTAGCAGCTCTGAATGAACAACAGAGCTCACAGCTCACCATTTGAGCTCCTATAAAGAAAAGACCGTCTCCTCAAGCAGCTCCCTGACCCCTATATATCCAAAGAGACACTTCATAAAGGAGAGATCAGATTGACACTAGGCGGGTATCCTTCTGGGACAAAGATAGCAAAAGAAGAAAACTGGTAACAACCCTTGCTGTTCAGCAGCTGCTGCAGGTGAACCCCAGGCAAGCAGGGCCTGGAGTGAACCTCAGCAGACCTACAGCAGAGGGGCCAGACTGTCAGAAGGAAAACCAAGAAACAGAAATAACCTCATCACCAACAAACAGAACGTCAATCTGAAAGATCTGAGACCCAATCTGAAAGCCAGCAACTACAAAGTCGACAGGTGGATAAATCCATAAAGATGGGAAGAAACCAGCGCAAAAAGGATGAAAACACCCGAAACCAGAACACCTCTCCTCCTACAAGGGATCACAACTCCTCAACAGTAAGGGAACAAGGTTGGAGGGAGAACGAGTGTGATGAAATGACAGAATCAGACTTCAGAAGGTGGGTAGTAAGAAACTTCTGTGAACTTAAAGAACATGTTCTAACCAAATGCCAAGAAACTAAGAACCTTGAAAAAAGATTTGACGAAATGCTAACAAGAATGGAAAAAACAGAAAGGAATATGAGTAAATTGACGGAGCTGAAAAATGCAACACGAGAACTTCGTGAAGCATGCACAAGTATCAACAGCCGAATTGACCAAGCAGAAGGAAGGATATC